TAGTTTAGTTTAGTTTTAGTTTAGTGTAAATTTTGAGTAGTTCAGAGAACTGGTAAATACCACCATTGAATGAATGTTGTGTTTTTACCGCTAATTATTTTTACTCACATTTTCTTTTTGTGTTTTGTCCTGCACTCCCCTCCCCTATTATTGTAAGCCGCCCTGAGTCCCCTCAGGGAAAAGGGCGGCCTATAAATGTTTAATAAAACTAAAAAACTAAAACTAAACTAAACCTTCAATTTCCATCAACTAAGACCTTAGAAAAGGAATGCCATGCTAAAAACAAGGAACAGAGGGCCACTGCACACTTTACTCCGTGGGTCTCAAAGAAAGAAAAAATATTCTTCTTTCCCATTCAATACATGTATGTAAAATGTATGGCTATTTTACCTCTCCAGCTTCAAATCCATGTTTTTATTTCCTGCGGAGAGCATTTCTCTAAACCCCGAGTGATTCATGTGAAGCCTCAAAAACCATCCAACCCCTTTTCTGTCGAAATATCTGGTAGGCCCAACTGAAATCATAAAGGCAAGATGCAGAGTGAGATAAGGGTCACAAATGGGGAAATGAGCTGCCTACAAAGTGAGCAGAGAGACACCCTCACCTAGAAAAGAGATTTTCTCTGGTGTCAAAGACAGGAAAAATCCAAAGCTCTTCAATCAAACCAAAGTCATGCCTGCTTCCAAAAATGATTTCAAACTGGGGAAAGTTCTTGCATCTTTCACTCACACCAAACTGGCAGTAATTTGCTTGTTGGGATTAAAAGTGGTGATTTGCAAATTGCCAATCTTATACCCATTTTTGTGCTTCTCAGTGTGGCTGCAAGGTGGCAGAACACACGAGAGAGTGTCCCTTCACAATTAAGTAGGTGGGGAAATTCCATGATTGCTCTAAATAGCTGTTGTATAAAATGCCAGCTAGGAGGAGGGGAAGGAGAGAGGTGTGCCAATTCCATCTGTTGTTCATATCCCCATCAGTTGGGTTACAGGTTACAATGTGTAAGTGGGAAGTATTGCCTCCATAGGAAACATACTGAAATATACCTCTGGTCCAAAGGTTTTGGTAAAACTCTTTAGGAGGGTCAGTGGTCTCCAGGAGATTCTGGCAGAAGGTGAAGGCTGGCAAAAGCAGGGAAGCTCCACAATCAAGATAACAGTGCCACAGACAGTATAGAAAGGCAGGTAGGACAAGAGGGGACGTAAGAGTGAACACAAGTGATAACCCAGTGAAATCAGAGGATATTATCTTAAGGCTTATAACATACTTTCTGTGTTTGCTGTTGGACCATTGAACAATAATCTCATTCTTATTGAAATTGCAAATATTTATAAAGCTGACCCGGGCATCTTTGTGGCATCTTTTGTTTATTTCTCATTCCTTTTTCTTCCAGATGTGCAGAAATTCTCCTTGATAAAGAAATCAATCAGATTCAGTTTCTGGACCCACGATATGGAGCCACGCCCCTTCATTGGGCCAGGAATGCAGAGGTGAAAAAGTACAATATCATTGGACATGACAAATCGTGTATTTTTAATTTTACTTTTACTACCTGGGAGCCTTATCCTTCTGGGAATAATTCTTTTCCCCAATCCATTGCTAACATTTCATTCTCTATGATCTTGCTGGGTTCTGGGTTCTTAATATCCGTGTAGAACTAGGAAACCTGAACCTGAAAACATCCTTCCTCCTGCCATTTGTGTGAAAATTGTGGAGAAACAGCATTAGTTGTATTCCAGCCTTAAGAAGCTTCCTTCCAGTGCACCAAATTGATTGTACAATTTGCAGCCTGCTTGCTTCAGACAAAGATCTTACTTGTTAGAGAAAATGAATTCCCAAAATGAAGGATCGCTTAAGAGGAGATTGCAGGACACTAGGTTAAGAAAGTTTTTAAAATGTGGGTATATTTTTCTCACAGAAGAAAATGAAAAATATTTTTTACATATAACATTTTTGCGTGTACTGAACCAGCAGTAATGCTGGGAGCAACCCACCCCTGATTTTGAGGTGCTTTCTTGTGATGTAAATAAGTCTAGTTAGTAGTCTTGTTCAAATGTTGATCACGTGCCTCCAGAGGAGCTGCAGCAACCATAATTTTGGGGACTAGCGTTTGTTTAGTGCAGTCATAACTTTCAATGGTTGCTGAACGAACGGTCATAACTTGAAAACTACCTGTACAGGTGAATGGTTTGGTAACTAAAAACACATTTCCCCCCCCAAAGAGCAACAAATATGTAAAAAGACAGATGAAGAAACCTATGTCCTATTGTGAAAAATATCATAGAAGAAGCTCTCGGAAGAAGAGGAGGGCAGATGCTGCAATTCCTATTTGCGATTTCTCCCTTTATGACTCTAGATGACCCGGATGCTTATTGAGTATGGCTGTGAAGTGAATGCCCTCAGTTCGTCAGGGGAATCAGCCCTTCATATTGCTGTGCGGCGTGGGCGTTTTGATTGCACAATGGTGTTGTTGACACATGGAGCTATGCCAAACACTAAAGAGAAGAATGGAAACACACCACTTCACCTGGCCATGCAGGTGAGCCTTTCATCATTTGGATATTTTTCTAGCAAATGAGAGAGAGGAACTTTCTTTCTAAAATGGAGAGAGCAGAGGGTGGTGAGCACAAGGTACCTCTGGAAAACTTTCTTGCAGCCTAAATTTCTCACTCTCAGTTTTCTGGTAATAGAACTAACAATGTGCCCTCCGTGGCTTTAAAGAGCCAAGATGGTGCAGTGGTTAGAGTGCGGTACTGCAGGCTACTTCAGCTGAAGTTCTAGCTGCAGTTCAGCAGTTCAAATCCTTCCGAGATGGGTAAAATCAGGACCCAGATTGGAGAATTCTGGGAGTTGAAGTCCACAAGTCTTAAAGTTGCCAAGTTTGAAGACCTCTGGTCTAAGTGCTATTGCTATTGGCTTTAACAAAGGAAGCTTGCTTTACATGAGTGAAGGAAAAAGTAAATTACATTCTCATAACTGAAAACCTATCTTTGGTTTCAAGCTTCCTTAAACCTGTCTATATGTCTTTTGTACCAATTTCCAGTTAGTACAGTTCAGTTTTTATTGTAAAAAAAAGAATATAGAGCCAACAAATGTTATGCTCATCTTTGCAGTGAGCGTACTTTCCAATTTTATCTTGATACATCAGTCACTCGATCGAATACACTTTTATATTTATTTATCTCACCACTGCCATTCCAATCCAGATAAGCCAGCTATTCTACCAAAATAAGGTTGGAGATCCTGATCTATTTTGGATGGTTGAGCAATTGGCAGTTTGCCTTGGGGAAAATCTATATCTAGACTGTTCCACTTTATTGGGCTTCTGGAGGTTCATAAAGAGTTTGTTATTCAAGATGGTTTTTGATGATGTAGAAGTTTAGCCTACCCTTGAGGAATGGCATTGCCATATGATGTTGATCAGAATGATGCAGTGTTTTTAACCCAAGGTTTGATATTCTTTAAGCAGCTTTAGATCTACAGGAAACTTAGTGGCACAGAAACACAAAAAAGATGATAAAGTGGGTGGACATTCCAAAGTAGACTAGAAAACAATGAATGGAGAGAAATAGGACAATATGTTTCCATTAACAAGTTCCTTTCTTCCCAATAGCAAGACTGCATAGAAATGATCAAGGCCCTTATTGTGTTTGGAGCAGATGTGGATATCCCTAATAATTTAGGGGAGACACCTGGATTGGTGGCAGCCAGGACAAGCAAAGGTAGGAAGAACCTTTGGATAGAAGGAGGTGGTGGGAGGGTTGACCTTGGTCTACCCAACTGGATTCTGTTAACATTGTGAAGAGATTCCATGTATATTGAAGCTCCGAATCTTGGGCTTTAGGGCGTAGATCAGTACTTCCTGGTGAAAGTCTGCTATGGAATGGAAATTTAGAATCATAGATAAATAACCAACACTGGAGGGAAGCATTAAGAATGAGGTCCCTAGAAGTTCCTCATTAAAATTGCTCTTCATTGCCCTTGGCAAGTACATTCACCTGCCTTTCAGATACAGGCTCTTCCCGGGTACAAGAAATAGGTTGGCTCAGAGCTTGCAGTGGTGACTGATTTTTTTTATTTGTTTTAATAACTTTCTGTTTAATGCATGTGATTCCTGCCTCACTTATGCAAGGTGCCAACCGGAAGGTTCTTTTAGATATGCTGAAAATTATAGGGATTGAACGCTTCCTTCCACCTGGCATATCTTCCTCATCAACATCCAATCTCCCAGAAAGATCATCAGCCTCACCGAGTTGTGGCTTAGGTAACCTACTACCTAGCTCTCTGCCTTTCTTTCTTTTCACTCTCTTGGGCCACTTTATATCTGAAGATTTCCAACATGCGGTTGCCCTTAGAATAAGAATTCTTATGTGTAAAATGAATGCCAGTGTATATGCATCCATGTTGTCACCCTAACCCAGTTATGGCTAACCTTTCTGTCCTTGTGTGTCAAAAGAATGCCCGCGTGTACGACAGTGTGTGCACGTGTGCCCACACCCATAATACAATGTACTCCTAGGACCCAAAAAAGGGTGCAGGGGGCCACACACCCATCCACCCCCGCGGTCCCCCCCGTGCATGCCTACCCTGTTATAGGAGTTGTGTCAGCTTTGTATATAGCTTTATTTCTCTCTAGCATTAATCTCCATTGTTCAGTGATGCATTTCCTGCCTCTCTAGATTTACCTCTATCTGCTCCTGTGAGGCACTTCCTGTTCCTGTTGGATGTATATCGATGGCTTGTATAGTGTTTTGCAGAGACCCGAAAATCAGCTGCCTGGCGGCACATGGTTGGTGGAGCTCATCTGTGGCTCCCGTGCCGGCAGACAGGCCTCTGCGTGCTACCAGTGGCATGTGTGCCATAGGTTCGCCATCACAGCCCTAACCAGTTCTGTTGATTACAGATTTCCAATGATCATTGCATTGCAGCAATCAGGACAACAAATCTTGTGATTACCTACCATGTTCTATTGTAATTTACCATTATAACCCCAATGACTTTTTCTTCACTTTTCCTTCCTATTCTTACAGCTATACTAATATCTATTTTAAAACACATTAATAAGTAGCTCTTGAATTAGCAGATAGGATTGCTACATATTCACGATAGTCAAGGCTTTTATAAACATTGCATACAAGGAAGTGAGTTAACAGGCATGACTTACTGTCACTGATTATGGTGATTCTAGAAAGATATGCCTATCATTTCCTTTTGGGCAATGCCTTGAGAAATAGAAAGCTCAGATTCTATTGAATCTGGATACCATAGTGAGCGAGGAAATGCATCTTAAACTCTCAGTTTTAACCCGTGCCTGTTGTGTCCTGAAAGTTAGAAATTTTATGTTTTGTTTGTTACTCTATTTTTTTTTTTAGACTACCAAGACGTCATCCACGTTTCTGTAGCTCTGGGCAACTTGCTGAAGAGACCAGATGTGGTGGACTCTGCCCCCAAGAAGAGAAGAAAGTAAGCAAGTAGAGTTAGGGAGAGTCACAAAGGTGGTTTAGATGTACTTGTGTGGGGAAGATCTAGTAAAGATGCACCAAATTCCTAGAAAGAAAGACTCTGTGCCTACTGTTTCTGATTCTGTGGCTCAGTTGTACTTTCAGGAACAATTACTTTGGTATTTTAGATATATTATATAATGCATAAAAGGTAAAGGTAACAGTTCCCTTACACATATGTGCTAGTCATTCCCAACTCTAGGGAGCGGTGTGCTCATCTCTGTTTCAAAGCCAAAGAGCCAACGATGTCCAAAGACGTCTCCGTGGTCATGTGGCCGGCATGACTAAAGGCCGAAGGAAGCGCACGGAACGTTGTTACCTTCCCACCAAAGGTGGTTCTTATTTTTCTACTTGCATTTTTACATGCTTTCAAACTGCTAGCTTGGCAGAAGCTGGGACAAGTAACAGGAGCTCACTCCGTTACGCAGCACTAGGGATTCGAACTGCTGGACTGCCGACCTTTCTGATTGACAATCTCAGTGTCTTAGCCACTGACCCACCATGTCCCTTCTATATAATGCATGTAAACATTTACCTATCTCCCTGAGTCATCTGAATGTGAAGAACAAGGCAGAGTTACTTCTGGGGCTGACACTTCCCTTGTTTTCTCTGTTCCCCTTCTCTAGCGAGGACCGCCTCCTGAGCCTGGATGGAGGAGGCGTCAGGGGGATTGTACTCATCCAGTTTCTCATCGCTATAGAGAAAGCTGCAGGGCGTCCTGTCAAAGAGCTCTTTGACTGGGTGGCGGGGACTAGTACAGGGGGAATTCTGGCCCTGGCTATTATACATGGTAAGAAGTGATGTGAATAGCAAGTAATCCCATGTGGAAATGACTCAGTGCGGGATGGGAATGGTTACTGAATTGGGAAGTGTGTGTGTGTGCATGTGTGCGTGTGTGTGTGCTCTTTAAAACTTTGATCAGAATTGGGTTCTAGATTTCATGTCAAACCGCCACATTATGTAGCTTGTTGTGCTCTTGTCTAAATCATTCCCATTGCTGTATTGGCTTTGCAATTGTGTTTTTGATAGATTTGTAAATACTGTATTTTTCAGACTATAAGACGCACCAGAATATAAGACGCACAAAGGTTTTGAAGAGGCAAATTAAAAAAAAAAAGTTTTTGCACTCTGCAAACCTCACCAAAACGGCCTGTTTTTCACAAAAATGGGCCCGTTTCCCCCCCAAAAAAGGGCATGAATAGCCCTTAGGAGGCTTGTAGAGTGTTCCTGGGTGGTGGTGGGGGGGGGGGCCAAAAGGAGCAAAAAACAGTCAATTTTTCACGAAAAAGGGCCCGTTTTTGTCAAAAAAGGGGCATTAGGAAACTTATAGAGTGCTCCTGGGGGTTGAGCTCCCAGGAGCTCTCTGAAAGCTTCCTACAAGCTATGCACGGCCGTTTTGGTGAAGGGGATGGGGTTTCAGGAGGCAAAAAATACTGTATTCAGTGTATAAGACGCACCCAGATTTTCACTCTTTTTTGAGGGAGAAAAAGTGCGTCTTATACTCTGAAAAATACGGTTCCTTTCTAGTTATTTTTTATTTCTAAACTTTTAAGTCAGCATTTAACATGCATTCAGTCTAGAAGAGGTCTATAAAAAGCTTTTTGTTGATCAAGTGAAAGAGAACTAAGGGCTCCTGATCCAGAAATTGAGATAGTGTAATGCTTCCATTGCTGAGAGCAGATAGAAGACAATCCTAGTTTATATTTTATCACCCCCATTACTGTATTTAATGTGTCATTCAGATATATTTTGTCTTTGCCCGTCAAACAATTCTTCAATTGTTCTTTACCACTTCTTTACCAGAAGCTGCCCTATTGCATCATGTCATTAATGATAATCTAATCATTAGTCTTCATGGTCTATATTCTAATGCCCAGGTGTTTTTCTAGTTTTTCTATCAATCTTTTCTTTGAGAACAGATAGCAAGAGATTGAATCTGGGATTTCTTGCATCCACAGCATGCAATATTATGGATTCTTTACACAGAGTGGCTCATCTGCATTACACTCTTGCCTTTGATGTAGCCTTATGTGTTCCTTCCTGCTGTTGAACTTCCCCCCCCCCCTGATGTCCCCTCTTCTGTCACACATTTGGTGATTTCACTCATTGCACAAAACATGGGTTTCCATACTTTCACCAAGATGTTTGGATAATTTCCTGCCTGTTTTCTATCAGCTGGATTGGAACCAAAGATGTTCTCCAGGAAGCCAATCATGTTGTTCTTCTTCTCAGGGAAGCCCATGGACTACATGCGCTGTGTGTACTTTCGCATGAAAGATGAGGTCTTTCGAGGGTCACGGCCTTATGAATCAGAGCCTCTTGAGAATTTCCTGAAAAAGGAGTTTGGAGAACATACCAAAATGACAGATATCAAGAACCCCAAGTAAGCCAAAATGAAAACCATTGGGATGGCTTCCTGAATCCTCTATTCTTCATTAATTAGCTCTGCTGGTCATTTATATACCTCCCATTATTCAAAGTAGGTTTGGCATCTCATCAGTACCTAAATAGTAAATTGCCTAGCTGTTCTGACCTAGGCTTCCCAAGAGCATGAAGCAAACTCCTTGTCTTGACAAAAACCTCTTCTGCTTATTCACATCCAGGGAAGTCTTTCAAGGGAGGATTTACAGTCACAGACCTTATCTGGCTTGGAGAGCTGCCAGGCCGATATCTGCAAAGCTTGGCAAGGAATCAATTAAGCAAACTAATTGTCTCCTGCAAACTCCACTCCTCTTTCACTCCTCTTATTTCCTCTGGGAGGGGCCATTCATTGTCCACCTGTGGCCTTACTCCCAAATTGACTCCTGTTCTTTAGCTGTTCCCTTTGTCTGGCAACTCTG